ATTCCTGCTCCCACCCCTCAGTTTGTCTCCAGGCTCCAGTGAGGTCCAGGGACTTGCCAAAGCCCCAGATGCCATCACCGCTAGAGGGAATCACACCTGATTCATCACAGAAGGGAAATGAAAGGCAGAGGGCCAGGACTACAGGCATCAAAGGCTTCCCCTCTCCTCCACAAGGTCGCCACTCTAGCCTCCAGCAATATGGCTCCCACCCCTCAGAGGTGACAGCACCTATGCAAAATGGTGTCCCTGTGAATTGTCCAAGTGCCCAGTGGGAGGCCTGGCTGGAACCTGGGGGTGTCTGCCTGCACACCTCAGAACACTCTAACTAATGCCACCTGCCTGGTAGTCAAGCTTAACCAGCACCCAAAAATGTCATATCCAGTCACAAACTTTATTATCTAGAAAGCTTACCTCTGGGGAAAAGGAACATTTCTCAGAGGTTCCTAAGTTGTATCCTCCTTTTATCTGAATGAAGCTACCATTCCTTCTCATGTGATCTAACTCACATGGGCCACAGCAAGACCCCCTCTCTTCTGCAATCATTTATTGCCTACCCAGATCAGCAGTTTTCAAAGTGAGATTCTCAGATGGAAACTTGTTGGAAATGCAGATTCTCAAGCCCCTCTGCTATGGTCTGAATGTTTGTGTCCCCCCTACCAAAATTCATGTGGGTTGAAATCCTTACCAAGGGATGGTATTAGGAAGTAGGGCCTCTGGGGGGGGGGGGATTAGGTCACGCAACCCTCATGAATGGGATTAGTGCCCTTATACAAGAGAGCACAGGGAGCCCTCTTGCCCTCTTTCTAACATGTGAGAAAGCAGTGAGAAGTAAGCTGACTGCATGCAGGAAGAGAGCCCCCCACCAGACACCAAATCTACCAGCATCTTGATCTTAGGACTTCTAGCCTCCAGAAGAGGAAGAAATAAATGCCTGTTGTTTAAGCCACACAGCCTATGGTCATTTATTTATTTTATTTATTTATTTATTTTAGTTCACAATATGGCACATGTGAGAAATCACCCCAAGGGGAAAGGCCATGTCACAATCCTTTCTCCTCCATCCTCCTTTCAGGATTTTGAGTACGCACACATATGCACTCAACATGTTTTTCAAGCTGCCGGGTCCAGGACTTGAACCTCATGGCAGGCCATGTAGGATCCAGCTGCCTATGATAATTCGTTACTGCAGCCTGAGCTAAGACACCTTCCACATCTACTGAAACAGAAGCTCTGGGGTGAGCCCAGCAATCCTTTTATGCCCTTCAGGGATTCTAGGTGTGCTAAAGTTAGAGAAACACTGACTGAAATAATTTTTCCCTCACTTTGAATGAAAGTATTGCACCTCCTCCCTAGGCATCCCAGGCAGGCCAGGGCTGAATGTCTTTATCCACCTCACTCTGGGAGGGCTGCACTCTGCAGGTCACCTGGTGGCCCCAGGATAAACAAAACATGGCTCACCTGGCAGGAGAACCAGCCTTCTGGTGTACAGAGACGGCCACTAGCCTTAGCTCCTCTGTCAAAGTAGCTGCCATTGTACTGTGCAGACTTGAGCTTCTGGCCCATGGAATCAAGGATCCGCATATATTCCTCCTGAGCCTCTGCATCCACCATGGAGGTATAAGAGCTCACCTTAAAGAACAAAGGAACATTACTGAGTCTGACACACAATGCCCTACTACCTGCTCTGGGCTCTCAATCCACTGCACGCCATGGCCCTCAGGGACCCTGTCTGAGCCCAGTCCTGTGCTCAGAGCGTCTGAGTTCACTTGGCTGCTCCACCACTGTTTGACTGTCGTAACCTGAGAAATTGCTATGAGCCATGAAATGGAGCTAATCATAAACCTGGTCCATCAGGTCAAGTAAGAGTTAAAGGAGCCACTCCAGTCAGTGGTCACAGCTGTCTCACTGTGGTCAAGAGAGCAGAGATGAGGAAATTATATTTGTTAGAAAAGTATTGAGAGTAGTCAGTATAAGTATGATGAGCTATGTTAGATAATTCAGGGGAACATAGATAGACACCAAGAAATGCTGGCAATGCAGAAAAATGAGAAGAGATAATGGAATATCAGCAACCCAGGGAGCCCAGAGCACGGTGAACCAAGAGCACAGCGAGCCTGGTCACACAGGGCAGCATGGATGCACGACATCCCTCCAGGGGCCTTCGTAATGCCCTGCACATGCTAAAGGCAAGGCATGACGTGCTTGATAATGAGGAAACCCACATTCTCACGAGGCCAACAGAAATGAGAGATGGTGCTGTGCCACCTTTGGAGGGAGAGGAGCCCAATATAGAGCAAGGGGGAAAGGCCATAGGATCAAATGTTCCCCCAGAACAGCAGCACTACTCCCCTATTCATGGACAGGCCCCACTCTCTCCACTCTGCTATTTTCTTTACTCCGCACTTCATTTGTCATCTGAGTCTATTTCTTAGTGGAAGGGAAGCAGAAAAAAAGATAACATCAGGGCAATGGACCCAAGGACTGATTTCTTCTTGAAGGAGAAGAGCAATTCCCACTGAGAGCATTTACACTTTAAATCTGCATCGATCTGCTTCCCGCAGCTCCTGGAGAAAGGAGGAGTTGGTCCATTTAGAAAGTCAGAATTCAGAACCAGCAATTACTCAAAGTGCCTCCAAGAAGCATTCTGTGCATCAAACACCACGCGGCCCTTTTTACTTCTTCTCAGGGGTCAGATAACTGCCCTGTGCCACGAGAGAGAAAAACAAATGAAAGTGCCGGGAAAAGAAAGGCCACTTACTGCCCAGCGGTGGAGGCATCCATCAGAGCAAATGGTGGACGGAGAAGAGATGTTTATTTGGGGTAAGTTCCTGTCAAAATTGAGCTGCCTGATAGATGGATATATATAGTCAAAGGTCGGCTCTATTAAAAAACAGCAGCAAATAATACATGCAAAATGGAAGAGGGAAACATTGTTCTGGCAACAGCAATCCCAGTCCAAGGGCAGCCAGTGCAAAGAAAGATTCTAGCACTCTACTTTGAGAGTGACAATCAGATGCTAACTATGCAGGAGAAAGGCAGATTAGTGAGAGTCGGGTTGGCACTTCCACCAGGCACACAGTCTGTATGCAGGCCGTCTTGTCAACATGGCAAGACCAGATACACCCATGCATGGGCTGGTAGTTCCCGGGACCACACACAAATCCAGGCTTTCTAAATCCACTCAGTAAGCCTGGCCTTCACATGGACTTACCTCTCTCAGGTAACTCCGGATCCGGCTCTCACAGCTATATCGTAGATAGCTAGACTTACTCCTAAATCGGGACTCCAGGCCTGTGAGGAAGAAGAGAAGATCCCCCTGGAATTCATGGGACAAGCCAGGGGTCTCCTAGCCTGTGTCCTGTCCTGTCCAGGTGCCAGGCAGGGCAGAATGTTAGGATCAGATTGGTTTGCCCTGAGAAATATTCTGATAGCAATGTGCACAGTGTCTCTGTGTGGTCTTTGTTTGTCTTGAAGGGCATGTCAAACACCACAGAGGGGCTTCTGCCTGACTGGCCCCTCAAGCCCACCTTTTGCAAGAGGCTTACAGTTTCTCAGGGTTACCTCTAACTGGCTTAAAATCCAAGTGTCGAGGACCAGCAGTTAGCATAATGGCTATGTCGCTGGACTCCCACGTAGTCGACTGCAGTTTGAGTCCCGGACCAGGTGGCTTAAACTCACGCTGGGCGCGTATGCGTGAGTGCAGAAGATCCCAAGAAGAGAATGGAGGAGAAGGGATTGTGGCATAGCCATCCCCCCTGGGGGGTGATTTCTTGCTTTCTGTCTGTCTCTCTCTGTCTTTCTGGTAAGCACACAAGCCCTATAGCAAAAACCTCTCAAAAAAAAAACCTCACGCCGGACGCATGTGCGTGCATGTCCAAGATCCTGAGAGGAGAATGAAGGAGAAGGGATTGTGGCGTGGCCACCCCTGGGGGGTGATTTCTCGCTTTCTGTCCCTCTGTCTCTGTCTGTCTGGTGAGCACACGCACCCTATAGCAAGAAACTCTCAAAAAAAAAAAAAAAGTCCAAGTGTCCACAGGTGGATGGATAAAGGAATAAGCAAAATGTGGTCCACTTGCAATGGAATATTATTCAGCTCTAAAAAGGAAAGAGATTCTGGGCTAGCAGGTGGTATGGTGGGTATGGTGCTGGACACCCACATGGCTGATTGTGGTTCAAGCCCCAGACCTGGTAGCTTGAAATTCACCCCAGGCAGATATACATGCATGCCTAAAATCCCAGGAGCAAGATGGAAGATAAGGGATTATGTTGTGGCCATTCTCCCTTGGGGGTGATTTCTCGCTTTCCCTTTCACTGTTTCTCTCTGGCAAGTGCACATATTCTATGGCAAAAGAAGAGAGAAAGAGAGAGAGAGAGAGAGAGAGGGAGGGAGAGAGAGAGAGAGAGAGAGAGAAAGAGAGAGAGAGAAAGAGAAAAGAAAGGAAGGAAGGAAAAGAAAGAAGAGAAATAAAGAAAAAGAAGACACCTGCTACAACATTGGTGGACACTGAGGACATTATGCTCAAGGAAACCAGTCACAAAAAGACAAATATTACATGGTTCCATTTATATAAGGTACCAAGAATCATCTTATTCACAGAGACAAAACGTAAAATGGAGTAGGCCAGCATGTGGCATGGAGGTGAAGGCACTGGATCCCACATGGTTGGCTAAGTGATTTGAGTTCCACACCCAGTGCCTTAAAAATCATGCTGTGAACATGTGTGTGCATGCGCAAAACCTCAAGAGAAGAATGGAGGAGAAGGGGCTACACTGTGGCCATCCCCTGTGGGGAATGATATCTCTCTTTCTGACAAGCATACATGCCCTATAGCAAAAACTTTTTTAAAAATGTAGAATGGGGACCAGCAGTTAGGGTAATGGCTATGTCACTGGACTCCCATGTAGTTGACCGTGGTTCGCGTCCTGGACCCGGTGGCTTATACTCATGCCGGGCACGTGTGCATGCGTGCCCAAGATCCTGAGAGGAGAATGGAGGAGAAGGGACTGCAGCGTGGCCATCCCCCCTGGGTGGTGATTTCTCGCTTTCTATCTCTCTGTCTCTCTCTGTCTGTCTGGCAAGTGCACGTGCCCTATAGCAAAAACCTCTCCAAAAAAAAAAAAATGTAGAATGGATCATTCTTGGGACTGGGGAAGAGGGAACAGGGAGTTAATATTAAATGGGAACAGAGTTTCCGTTTGGGAAGATGAGAATGTTCTGGAGATGGATGGCAGTGATGGCTGCACAGCAGTATGAATATATTTAATGTCCCTGAACTGCACAATTAAAGACGGTCAAGAAGGTAAATTTTACATTATGTGTATTTTACCACAATTAAAAATAATAATAATAATTTAAAAACCTGTCTGAAAGCTGTCCTGGACTCTGATCACCTGCAAGTCCTTGCTGGGCGCTCTCCCTCACCCCCAGATGAGAATGACTGGCTCTAAGCACCATATCCCAGTGCCTGAATGGCCAGACTGGCCTTTTGCTGTGGGCTTCAGGACCCAAAATAGACCCCAGTTCCTCCTGCCATTTCTGGATGTAGTCCCAACCATGTCTATACACACCTTCAAACCAGGGTGGGTCCTCAGCGCGCGTCTCAGCCTCGATGTTCTGGCTAAGGTTGTGCAGCAGATCAGCCAGCAGCTTCTGCCGCAGAGGGGCCTGCTCATCACACATTAGCTGCCTAGCAGCCTGGACTACCCCTGCGTGCGGCTCATGAAATACACTGAGGAAGCGACCAATGTCACTCACATCTGCTACCAGCAGGGGACAAAAAGAAATATATATATAGTTGTGTGGAAGACATAGCCTGCCTCTGGTCACCAGAGAGGCTCTAACCACGTCTATGACCCCATCACTCAGAGCTTGGGCACAACTAGATTCGTATTTGAGATGTCTGAGCCTCATCCTGGCTCTTGACAACATCAGATGGTTAACCTTGCATTCAAACCTGCTCCACTGGCCTCTGTGGTTTCTTCTCCCTTAGAACCAGAGAACAAGGCTGGCCACCTACTTGTCAGGGTGGTGTGAGGACAGAGAGGCAAGAGACAGGGTGTACTTTAGAAAACGAAAGCACTACCCAAGCTAACTGCTGTTCTCCCTTCTGGATTTTCCTCCTCCTTTGGCTAGGTCATCTTCTCCTTTGGAACTGGCCTTGAACCCCACTTTCAGACCTTTTGAGTCACTTTTCCTGTTTTCTTGTGGAGCCATTCCATGATTCTAAAGCAATGAGCTCTCCCAGTAAGATCCTAATAGGAAAGTCTACCAAAGACCGTAATAAAATAACAGCAAATAGAACTCAGTGATACATAAAGAGAAGTATACACCATGGCCAAGCAGGAATTCAAGGCTAGTTCAATCTTCAAAAAACAATCAATGTGATCCACAGTATTAATACACTACAGAAGAAAAGCACATGATCATATCAATTGATGCAGCAAAACACAGGAGGAAAGCTTGAGGATCTAGGGCTTGGTTAGATGTTCTTACATTTTATACCACAAGCACAGAATAAAGGAGAAAAATTAACAAATTGGGTTTCATAAGAATTTTTTAAAATTTTGCTCTGAGAAAGACACTGTTAAGAGAATAAAAAGACAAGCTATAGCAAAGAAGATATTTGCTAACTACATATCTGGCAAAGTCATATCCAGAATGTATTAGGGAGGAGAACCCTCAACACTCAACAGTAAGAAATATCTAATTATGAAATGGACAAAAAACATGAAGAAATGTTTCACCAAGAAAAATCTACAGATGGCAAATAAGCACATAAAAAGATGTTTGACATTGGGACCAGCAGATGGCATAATGATTACTTGGCTGGACTCCCACATGGCCAACTGTGGCTAAAGTATAAGACCCAGAGGCTTAAAATTCATGCCAGGTGCATATGCACGCATGCCCAAAATCCCAAGAGGAGAATGGAGGACAAGGGACTGTGGTGTGGCCATCCCCCCCCAGGGAGTGATGTCTCACTTTCTGTCTCTCTGTCTCTGTCTCTCTGGTGAGTGCATGCACCCTATAGCAAAAATCTCTCAAAAAATAATTAATTTTTAAAAAAGGATGTTCAACATCAGTAGGCATTAGAGAAATACAAATTAAGGCTGCAGTGAGCTATCACCACTCACCAATCAGGATGGCTGAAGTAAAAAATAGGGACAACACTGGAAGCTGGTTAGACTGCAGAGAAACTCAGTCTTTTGTACACTGCCAGTAGAAAGGTAAAATGGTACAGCCACTCTGGAAAACTTTGTCAGGCTCTTTTCTTCTTATCAGCTTTATTGAAATATAATTTCCATTCCTTATAATTTACCCATTTAAAGTGTACCAGTCAATGGTGCTAAGTGTGTTCACTGAGTTGTGCAAACATCTCCACAGTCAACTTAGAACATTCTTATCGCCTCAGAAAGAAACCTCATATTATATAGCTGCCAACCCTTCTCTCTCCATTCCCACCCACCCTCTACCCTAAACAACCACCGATCTATTTCCTATCTTTACAGACTTCCCTATTCTGGGCATTTCAAATGATTGGAATCATATCATACATAGTATTTTGTGACTGGCATCTTTTACTTAGCATGTTTTCAAGGTTTATCTTGTTTCATTCCTTTTCATGGTGAAAAAAAAAATTCCATTGTATGGGTATATCATACCATTTATCTATCGACAGAGATTTGGGTTGTTTGCATCTTTGGCTATTATGAATAAAGCTGCTATAAACATTCAAGTACAAGTTTTTTTGTTTTGTTTTGTTTTGTTTTTTTGAGAGGTTTTTGCTATAGGGCACGTGTGCTCGCCAGAAAGACAGAGAGAGACAGAGAGACAGAAAGTGAGAAATCACCCCCCAGGGGGGATGGCCATGCCACAATCCCTTTTCCTTCATTCTCCTCTTGGGATCTTGGGCACGCACGCACACGCACCTGGCGGGAGTTTAAGCCACCAGGCCCGGGAATCGAACCATGGTCAACTACATGGGAGTCCAGCAACATAGCCATTATGCTAACTGCTGGTCCCTCAGGTACAAGTTTTTATGGTGACATGTGTCTTCTTTTCCCTTGGATAAGGATTGGAATTGCTGGGTCATAAGGTGACTATGTTTAACCATTTGAGGACCTCCCACTGTTTTTTGCAGTGGCTGCACCATTTTACATTCCTACCAGCAGTGTATAAGGGTGCTAGTTTTTCCATACCATCACCAGTACTTGTTACCCTCCTACTATTAGGTTGGGAAAGTCATGACTTATTTTTCTGGTTATCTATGCAAAATTGTGTCATGACTTTCCTGACAACTCAGTAGGTTTGAAGGAGTATCTCATGGTGGTTTTGATTTGCATTTCCTTGGTGACTAGTGACATCTAGTATCTTTACTGTGCTTTTTGGTCATCTGAGTATTTTCCTTGGAGAAGTATCTATTTAGGTCCCTTGCCAATTTTTAAGTTGGGTTGTTTTTTTTACTATTGAGTTCTAAAAGTTCTTTATATATACTGATAAGTCTCATGAGATACAAGACTTGCAAATATTTTTTTTTCCCATTTTGTATATTCTTTTCACTTTCTTAATGGTGTTCTTGGAGTTATAAAAAGTTTTAACTTTGAAAAAGTCCAATTTATCTTTTTTTTCTTTTTCACTTATATTTTTGGTATCAACTCTGAGTCTTTTGCCACATCCAAGGGCGCGATGCTTCCTTCTATATTTTCTTAGAAGTGTTTTATATATTTCTAAATTTCATAAGTGCTTTATGTTTTTAGCTCTTACATTTATGCCGTTATCCATTATATTTATTGCCAGAAGGCATGTACACTCCCAGGGAGACAGAAAGAGAGAAAGTACTTCCAATGGAATAGTCATACTGCAATCCTTTTTCTTCCATTTCACCATCTTGTCAGGATTTGGGACTCACATGTACATAGGTATAGCATGTTTTGCTAGCCATCAGGGTCAGGATTAGAACTGCAGTTGGCCATGTGGGATCTGGCTTGTATACATGGCATTAAACCTCTGTGCTATGTGGCCAGCACTGAGTCCATTTCTGAACTTGAAATGACATATGAGTTGTTTATCAAACATTCTTGAAATGACATATACAGATCAGTGGCCACCAAAGACTAGGGAACAGTGGGTAGGGGACAGGCAGTATTATGAAGGCAGAAGCATGAGAGAAAATGTTATAGAGATAGATGGATTGACCGTGGTTACATGAATCGACTTGGTGATAAGCAACAGAGTAATATACACACATTGCACAATGCCATTTTCTTGGTTTAGATTCTGTAGTACAATTAGGTCAGATGAGACCTTGGGAGATACTGTGAAGGGTATGTAGGACTTTCCTATCTTTGCAACTTTCTAGGAATATATCGTTATTTCGAAATGAACAGTTTAAAACATTTTTTTTAAGTCTACCAAAGAAAGACTAGTGGTTTCAGTAGAGAGAGGTGATAAAGCACCAGAGAAAGTAAGAAAGAGACAGAGACAGAGATTAGAGTAGGGGGACATTACAGAGAGATGGGGCAGCCTGTTCTATTCTTGTTCAACTACATCATAAAATGAGAAAGAAAGGAGATATCCATAGGTACTCAAAGCCTCAAACACTCCCCTACACAATCTCCACCTCCCATAAAGGGCCATTCCACGTGGCATCACAGTGATACATTTCCTGGCTGCTTCCTCTAGAGATACAAGGCTCAACAGAGAAAGGATGCCTGGGGACCAGCAGTTAGCGTAAAGGCTACGTCACTGGACTCCCACATAGTCGACCGCGGTTCGCGTCCCGGACCCGGTGGCTTAAACTCACACCGGGCGCGTGTGCGTGCGTGCCCAAGATCCCAAGAGGAGAATGGAGGAGAAGGGATTGCAGCGTGGCCATTCCCCCTGGGGGGTAATTTCTCACTTTCTGTCTCTCTGTCTCTCTGTCTGTCTGGTGAGTGCATGTGCCCTATAGCAAAAACCTCTTTAAAAAAATAAAAAACCCCCGCCCTTGCCCCTCTTTCCTACTGACAGTAGAGCCCCTAACACTGCAATGCATGACACAGCCACACACATAGACATTATTCTTTGGCTTCCCTCTTTCTATCCCTCTCTTAGAGCTCCCTCATTCTTCCTAGGGTGCTGAAACATCTCCTGAAGTACAACTCCTCTTGTACAAGAGCCAAACAACCCTTCCAGGGGAAGGGCACACAATAGTGTCTTCCGTTCCAGGGCTAAGAAGCTCACCCTCCTGCACTGTCACACAAGCTGCATAGAACTTGTCATCCAGCTTGTTCTGCAAGACAAACTCACACCCTGGGTCATCAATACAGACACCCCTGAGCAATTGCCCAAGTAAGGCAGCCTCTGTGAACTCTAAGGATACAGCTCAACAAAAACCAGTAGAGAACAGACACTGGGTGTCATGTGAGCCACCAGTCCCTTCTTTCAGAAAGATGTACAGCCCAGCAGAACTCAGAGCATCACCCTCTAGCTGTGCCTTACCCACAAATCTGTGTAAGTCCCAATCCCCACCACCCCCCCTTTTTCCTTGAGAGTTACTAGGACACCTCAAATGAGCACAAATAATTTTTCAAAAAAGACAAACAGCCTAGTGAACAACTGGGCTCATAACAAAATGACTGAGGATGATACATCTAGCTATACTGACCAGCTCTGACCCCAGGATTCCTTCTTTAGATCCAAGAGTTTAGAGCCAGGGGGACCCTGCGTCTCCCTGATTGGCACCCTAGAGGTATGCCCCCAGCATCCCACCATGGTGCCCAATTCTCCACCCATCTCCAAGGTCTCTGTCACTTACAGCCCTGCCAGGTCTGGCCCGTGGTGAGCAGCACCAGCTCAGCATTGTCGGAGAGGCTGAGAAAATAGTCTTCAGTCACCTCAGTCCCATCTTCATACAGGCACAGTCGGGAGCCAGCCACAGGTAGCTGGGGGTGGGAGGCAGAGCAGGGACACATTCATTGACCAAATGGTCCCAGGCTGGCCCTTTACAGCAAATAACAAGAGAAGGATTTCGCATCTGAAGTGCTCAAGTACAACAAAAACAAGCCATGTTTGAAGAATCAAGCTCAGGATGTCTGTGTACCACGCTGCACAGACACCTGTAAAATCCAATGTCTAAGAATCAGCATGTCAAGATGAAGGCACCTCGCTGTAGGTAAGCTTTGAAAATACGAAAAATCACATCCAAATGCTTGTATATATTAAGTGGTGACTATTTGCTTTGTGGGATACACTACACTGATCCTTTCAAAATGAGCTCCCTGAGGGCACTGAACCCAAGAGTCAGTTTCAGAAAGTAACCAATAGCTTCTCCCAGGAAGCTTATAAACATGTCACTACCAAAGACAGCTCATGTCTCAACAGCCGCAGCAGACACCACCAAAGAGAACACCTTCCTGAAAATGACTCTTCGCTTCTGCCTACAAAAGTGTGACCCGCACACTTTTCCTTAACTTGCTGCAGTCTGGTCCCGTTTCTGGGCACAGTCCGTTTTAGGCATTTTGATGGCAACTTTCCTTCCACTACCATGACAGCTACCCTACACTCGTTCACACAAGCACCCTAGTGCTTATCAAAGACCATTCAAGAAAACAAAGTAAGGATAAGAATGATGGCTAAAATTTCTCAAATGTTAGTACGGAAAGGGCCTTTAGACGTCTGACCAGACCCCTTCATTGTACAAAAGGGGAAGCTCAGGCCCAGCGGCTGCCACCGAGCACGCTGCCAGTTAGCACCAGCTCCACAGACCATCTCTGCTGACTCTGCGTCCATCCAAAGCTGCCCTGACCCGGAAAGGAAGAAAAGGGCTGTCCAAACCCACTTCGCAGTCCCCGCGCAGTGAAGCACGCTCGGGAGCAGGAGGGTGATGCTAGTAACTCCAGGGACGTAGGCTGAGGGCTGGGAGCTGGTGGCCCGCAGCTACGGACAAACGCTGACGGTGTTTCCTTGGGCTCCTGTCGCCTCGGACAGGCCCGCCGGGTTGCAGAGAAAAAAGCAGCAACAACGTGGCCCCCGAGCCGCGGTGAACGGGCGCACCTGGAAGCGGAGGCACCCCTTGCGCAGCACTTCCTGGCAGGTCCGGCCCGCCACCCCGAACTTGTTTGCGCTGTGCAGGGCTCGCAGCTTCACTGTCTTGGGTTTCCGAAACATGGCAAACATCTCAAGGCCTCTGAGCCCTCCCGCGGCAGCATCTGCTAGCAGCGGCTCAGGGGATTTGCACCGGGTGGTCTCCGCCGAGCTGGTACAGAATGGGCGCCGGACCGGAAACTACACTACCCAGGAAGTGCGGAAAAGCGAACCCCTGTGTGCGGCACTGGCTCCGAAAACTACATTACCCAGAGGTCCAGGAAGCCGAAAGGCACCGTCGCCCTGTGAAGGCGCTGGCCCCCGAAACTACACTACCCAGAAGGCCGGAGGAGCTGAGAGCCGCTAGTGCGCAGGCGCGATCGCGTCAGGACGGGGTCGCGCACGCGCGCAGGCCGGGGATCCCGACTGGGTTTGGTTGTCATGAGAGCAGTGGCTGCGGCCCGGGCGATGGGCGGAGGTGGCAAGGGCTGCTCCTCTGCTGCTACCGCCTCAGCGATTTGGGATTGCGAAGCGGCCTGGGGTGGCGGAGGAGAAGCCACCTGAGTTCCACAGAAGC